CCTAAATCTGATTGGGCTTTTGAACAAAAAGGTATTGATATTTTTTATTCAGGTTTAATCCTACAAAAATTATAGTAAAACATGGATGCACTTAAAAATTTTGAACGAGCACTTAAAATAAATCCTACTGCTCATAGATTAAAATATAAAGGTAAATACAACTTTAAAGTATATTAGCTGATTCATTAATTGAATTACGTAGAAGTTCAGAAGCTAAATACTTTTATTTTGCTGCAGGTTTTGGTTAGAATGCTTATATAAAAAGCTAACTATCAAAGATATGAAGCATTATCATATTCATATATTAAATGATTTAATAAAACATTGTCAGTATATATTTATAAAAAAAGTTATTTACTTAAATTAATCACTTCTAGTGTTATTACTCTGTAACTTTAACGATATAAACTTAATGGCCCCTAACAAGGAGTGATATTGATCTTATTACTGACAATTAAGAATTCTTGCATCTTTTATGAAACCAAATTTTATATTACTTAATTAACATTTGAATGTAGTTTAAAATAATATCTGGTATCCTATAGAGACAAATATGAAAAATGCAAATAAAGAGAATCTCAATTTAGTAGAAGAATTGTCTTTTTTTTTTATTTGAGAGTCATTCCATTGGGACAGAGAATTTTAGTGAGTTTTGAATGACTTGATAGAGTGGCAAAATTTCGAATAAGTATTAAGTGAACAAAAGTCCAGTTGGGATTCCACAAAAGAATTTGATGAACTAAGAAATTCTAAACCAAAAAGAAATAAACCTTACTTAATTCTGATTCCTTAATTCTGATTACTTAATTCGAATCTTACACTTACACAGAAGGTAAAATTCATTATAACCATCAATGTTCTGACATTCAACAATCTTAAATTTTTATTCAAACAAAGTTGATAGCAAATCAAAAGTTTCATTTAAGAATTGATTAATAAGAAAAATTAAAGCAGAAAATGGAATATAATTGAAAAAGGGAAGTTTATAATTCGAATATTTGAACTTCTTAGACAAAAGTAAAACAAATAAATTTAAAAATACTCAAATTAATGTTATTAAAGTTCTTATATTTATATTGGAAGTGGATTAAAAATTGAATCTTTATTATCAAAGAAAAGAAGGAAAAAGATTATTCTGTATTCCAAGTACCTTAACTAAAATTGTTGTTGAATGAAAACAAAAGAATTGGTTAGAAAATTGAAATATGCAATTAATAACACTTTGAAATAATTAGATGGTCAACGTTAAAATATTTAATGATCTCATTCTCAAATCAATAGTAGATATGAAACTTATGGGACAAAAACCTTTATTATTGTTTATGCATAACAATTTGTTAGATATACTTTA